GGGCCGGGCTGGATGGAGGCTGCGGAGCCGGCCGAGCCGCCTGGCTGGTGACCGGTGCGCCCTGAGGGGCCGGTGTCGGGGTGTCAGGGGTCCGTCCGTGCAGGGGAAGGCGGGCGGGTGCCCACAGGCTGTGTCCCAGTGCGTCCCTGCAGCCCCAGCCCCGGCGCTCAGCCTCTCGCTGACCCTCGCCAAGTCTAAGGCGGCGGGTGAGAACGACCACCACCGTGGTTTATTAAACAGCCTCCTGAGGGCGCACTCGCAGCGCGATAAATACAAATAAATACACGCGGCGCGGCTGCCCGCGCTGGGCCGCAACCACGCTGCCGCTCCAGTCTGCCTCTCCGTGGCAGGTCCGCTGGGCCTCACCCAGCCCCAGGGGCCCCGGAGGCCCGCACGGCGGCCTGGACTTGCATGCACGCCGAGAGCTGCGTGAGGACCGTTAGGATGAAGCGCTTCTGCTGGAAGGCGCCGGGGGGCAGCGGGACGGCAGCCTGCGGCTCCTGCGGGGCCTCGAGCTTGTCCAGCTGCTCCGTGATCTCGTCCACGAGGCCGCCGAGGGACCGGCCTGTGGCCCCATCACCGGGGTCACGCAGCAGCCGCCTGAGGGCCCTGAGGTGTGGCAGGACGGCAGGGCGGGCCGGGGGTCGTGGGCACGGCAGCGAGTAGCTCCTGGACTCCGGCACCCCCTTCTCCCTCCGCAGCTGTGGGGAGCGGGAGGCGCGGTAAGCGGGGCCCGGCGCACACTGGCAAGGGCTCGCCGCCCTCCAGGCCTGGCACCCTGCCAGAGCGAGAGCCCAGCCGCTCCCAGGTCAGGGCGCAGGCAGGAGGCCAGCTGGGTGACTGAGGCCCCGCGGCCCGGGGTGCGCACCTGGCCGCAGGGGGAGCCCCAGCCGGACCCCCTTGGTCTTCCCGGGGCCCTCAGCACCGTGCCAGCTGAGCCCCGAGCCTTGCGTCTCCGCTGCTAGGGGCTGGCACCCCGCAGAGGGTAAGGGCAGACCAGCCTCCCACTGCCCCACACTGGGGGGTGCGTGTGTGAACACGGTGACCCAAGGTCCAGGGAGGGAAGGGGGCGCACGGCGCCTGCCCCTGTGCGCTGCGGCGGGCGGGGGCCCCAGTGAAAGTGGTGGGGCCTGCGTTTGTGCAGCGGGCAGCAGGGGCTGGCCGCTGGCGGGACAGGCTGGTGGAACGCGCAGGCAGCGCAGGGCAGACTCAGGGTGGCCGGAGTCCTGCGGCCCGCCCCGTGCCCGCCGCCCGTGCCCGGCGCCTGGGCTGGCCACCCCAGCCCTGGCCCCGGTCCTGAGACTGGCTGCTGCTCTGCTGGGCGGGGGAGGCTGAGCGGGCGGCGCTCCTGAGACACTCACGTAGCCCTCCAGGAGCTCCTGCGACAGCTTCGCCAGCATCGAGGTGATTCTCTGCTGCTCCCTGGCTGGAGGCCCACGCACCAGCGCCGTCCCGCAGCAGCAGGCCAGAAGCAGGGCCAGCCCGACGGCTCCTGCAGGGAGACAAGCGTGAGCCGTGAGCCGCGCCCGGGGCGGCCGAGGGGGCCGAGGGATGGGCCGGCCTGCGGGCACACCTGCGCTGGGGGCCATGGCGGGCTGGGCAGGTGCGCCTGCCGCGTGCATTTAAAGGCCCCGCGGGGAGCGCGCTGTGCACGGCCCGCCCACGGGAAACCATTCAGCTTTTCCCCAGAAATCCGTCCAGACGCCCGCACCGGGCTGGGTAAAAGGGCTGGAGGAAGTGCTGAGGTTTCCCCGTGGGCCTGACTCAGGCCCGGCACAGGAAGGCGGCGTTATCGCGCCTTCTCGGAAGGCTCGTTGGCGCGGCCAGGAGGCGCCGCCGCGGGTCTGGGGCAACACCGCACCGGGCCTCGGCCGGGGATGCCCGCAGGAGG